TGGATGGGGCTCTGAGCAACCTGATCTAGTTAGCGGTGTCCATGCTCACTGCAGGGGGGTTGGACTAGATGACCTCTAGGGGTCCCTTCCAACCCAAAACATTCTATGATTCTATGATTCTATGATTCTATGATTCTATTATTCTATGAAGGCAGAACATACTGAATTGAAGCTAGTTCTGCTGCAACATTTGTGATGTGTAGATTCATCAACTCTTGTTCAAAAAGCTCAGTCACTCAAATGAGGATATTTCTCAAACAGGTAATTTTTTATGTATGTCAATGCATAATGACTGTAGCAAGCCCAGGATGAAACTCATGGACAATATTTTAGAGAAATATTTCCTTTCTTTCTGGTAATAGCACAAGTGTTGGAACCAGATTACTCTTCCTTAGACAAATGTAAATGTTAATTGGTAGCCTAAAGGTACCTGAGAAAAAGGGATACAGTAGCAAATGAAGAACTCTGGAGAAATATATTTATACTAGGTTTCAGTATAAGTGAAAACTTTAAGCTATGTAAGCATAATCTGAAAGATTACACCTTTTGTACATTTGGGGGACAAATTATCATTACAGAAGTTTCCCTCTCACAGTATGTGTGTACTATGGGCCATGGTATGGAAAGGAAGCTGGCCTTGTTTACAGGCACCCAGAAATCTCTGGAAATGACAATATTTTATTAAAAAAAGAAACTGGTCATTTATTTGAGGCTCAAATGCCCAAAGGTCAATCAACTCAATTTTTAGAAAGACTAATCACTCACAGCTGTAGGTGAGGTGTAATGAAGAATGAACTGCAAAGGCTTTGATCACCCTGTATCTGGTATTTCATTAAACTGAAATGCTTATTGCTAACTAAATCTTGTCCCACCTTGTCAATTAGCACCTTAGGGATCACGGTATTATGCCTGTGAAATTAGATAGTCAAGCAAATTTCTTATTGAAGTCTGCTAGATTTTATGGTTAAGCAAAAACCAGTAAATCAGAGTTTTCTTGCATCAGTCCATAGGGTAGAAATGAGTGCAGCAGGAGCTGGTGCACACCCACTCCTTGCACCACCCCCCTCTGCTGCTGACCAGGACTCTGAAAATAAAGCTTTCACTGCAAAATTAAATTGTTGTCACAATTGCTCAGAAGTCCTTGGAAATGTGAATGGAAAGCAAACTCAGTACCTGGGTATCTTGCAAAAGTCTCAGAACAACCATTTTAAGCAGGGAAAATCACCTTGTACATCTCATAAGAAATTAAGCATTATCATTGTTAGCTCTGTTAGGAGAGGAAAAGTTTCTGATAGAGTTCTACAGGTTGCTCTATGTAGTGCCTCAGGTAGGAAGCATTAACTAATTGTTTTCCCTCATCAAAACAAGGAACTGAGATGTAATAGGAAAAAAAAATCATAACGTTGAGGAAAATTTGAAGCACAGTAAATACAAAAAATTTCAAAAGGTCTTGACCTGTGTTTGGTAAAATCAGCACTAAAATATCTGGCTTTAAAGGCTACATCTGCTTGGAATAGCTAACACTGATAACCTAAACCCCTGATGGATACAGACAGGCAAACAGAAGAGAGGGTTTTATGGTTTTCTTTATGCCAGGAAGATGATGTAAATCCTCCTGCAGAAACACTGTTATGTTTGACAGATCTGCTTCTCCATCAGGGACCACCTCTGACAGAGGTGCAGCTGGAGAGTTTCTGACAGGATGGTGAGGCCTCTCCAGTTCTCCAACACCTCCTTCTCACCCCAGGATTAATACAGCCTCATAAAAGCCTTGCCTCAGTAGAAACCTCCATGATCTCATGCAAGGTGTGACATTTATTGACTTCAGAAGGCACATTTTATCAAATCATGCTTGAATGGAGACAAGATTGCCACCTGATCATACGATGTGGGAAATATGAATGAAAAGAAGATACTGCATGAGATAAGGGAGGAAAGAGAAAAAAGCAGCTACTTTGTTATATCTTTTTCACTGTGCCTTGTGCTTGATACCTTATGAATTTGTTTTCTCTCTCCTTCCTCCAGCACTTTCACTACCAGCCTTCTGAAAGGTTACACATACCATAGTCAGATTCTCAGCTGATATCTGTCTCTTCTTGCTGACTTATGAGTTCTGAACCTCTTCCATGCTGATTAAACTTTTCCCACCGTTTTTTCCTCAGTTTTATAAGTCAACTCCATTGGCTTCTATAGAGTTAACCCAATTTACATGAGATGAGAATTTGGGCAATAATACCCACATTAGTATGAAATCAGAATTTTCTATCTTTAAGGTTAATTTGGGTAGCTATCAGAGAAATGTCTGTCTTTTAACATTAATGTGGACAAGAGACAGAGAAATGTCAGTGTGTTAACAGTCTAACCAGTACCATTTTTTCAGACTGGTTGATCTACCCTTTCTGATACTTGCATTAGCCATCAGACTCCAGACTGTGGTAAATAATATTGAAAAGATGCAAATTTAACTCACTGTTAATTTTGTTGACTTGGAGGTAGAAGTTTTCCAGGTTCTCACTGACTGTTGGAATGCTCTTCAGCTGATTGAAGGAGAGATCCAACTCAACCAGTGATGTGATATTGAAGACATTGCCTGGTATTCCAGAATCTGTTAATTTATTGTTGGATAAACGTAAATATTGCAGGGTCTTAAAACCTTGGAAGTACTCATCTGGAACATTGGAGATCTGGTTATTATCAAAATACAGCATGAGTAAAGAGTGAGGCAATCCTGTCGGCAGCTTTGTAAGTCGATTGAAGCTTAAGTCAAGATACAAAAGTGAATTCAGGCCTTTAAAGGCCCCAGAAATAGAATCTGCTTTCAGCTGGTTGTTCTGGAGGTGAATGACAGTCAGATTCACTAGCCCCTCAAGTGCACCGGGATTGACTTTTGTGATCTTGTTGTGACTTAATTGCAGATCATCCAGAGTTTTGGGGAGTGGTCCAACAGCTTCAGTCAAATTGTTGTAGTTAATGTGAAGTTTCTTCAGATGCTTTAGTTTAGAGAAGACTCTTCCCTTAATTTTTGAATTTTCCAAATGGTTGTGATCTAGGATCAGCCACTGTAGGTCTGTTACATTATCAAATGTGTTCTCTTCAATGCCCTCAATCATATTGTTTCGAAGATAAAGGTATTTTATTCCACTTGGTACAATCGGAATGGTTTTCAGTTTAAGATTGTCACAATACATGGCAGTAGGGTAGCTTAAAGGACAATTACATTCTGGGGCACAAACTGCTGAGGATGGCCCAAAAGGATCATAACCGTAATCATCTGCAGGACCATAGTCATATTGGCAAAAAATGCCACTAATCAATAACAGAAAGATGGGTAGGGAGTTTAAAGACATCTTTGCAATGTGTCTTGTCCCTGTATGGTGAAAGGGAATAAAAAAGTTATAACTTTAATTTTTTCTCTCTTTCAGCAATATTTGAAACTTTATCACAAATTATTACAATTAAAACATAATTAATTTAGGCTTCATGTTTAAAGTTATTTATTAAGAAAAAATATATTAGTTCGTCAGTATTGCATTCTTACTACTATAAATTTACAGTCCGTCTTGTTAGAATCTGCTTTTGTAATGCAAAAATTGCAGGCCGTTCTGCTGTTACAAGTAAAACATTCTTTATATCTTTCTGCATTCATTCATTAAGTCACAAGAACAACGATAAAGTCCAAGTTTTTTAAACTTGGCACAAAGAGTTTTCAGTTTTGCTGAAGGCCATGTTCAGAGGGAGTTCTGCCATTTAAATTCTATCAAGCATTCCTAATATACTGAATTGCCTCATATCTAAATAACATGTGGCAATTTGACTTAAGTTTGAAAGAGCCAGGGAAGTTACAAACTGAGGGTAATGATCTGTTGTGTAGTTTATTGTTAAGATACCTGTACCCTGAAATATCTTCTTCTCATGGATCATGTCCAGTAAAGCATGATCAACTAAGTTTCATATTCATCTAAAGAAAAAACTAATAGACATATATAACATATTCTCTTGGATGTGTCAAACAACTAACACTGCATATGTGTGCACAAGTATACTCTATCTAATATGGATCTACAGTGGATCTGAAATGACTGAATTTCAGACAGTGCAAATGTTTTTGCAAATTCTGTATATAAAAATAAATGTGTTGATTACATTGCATGACCGTTCTAAATCAACAGAATAATAAATCACTAGCTTCACAGTGTCTTCCAGTTCACACAGAATAAAAGGACGTTCAGTGTCCTTGGGGATGTTTTGCTGTGATCCAATATGAGTGGTCTCAGTTTATTTTTTAATAGGGCATATCTTTCTCATCAGATACTTCACAAGATGATAACCTGTGAAGATTAGTATCTTGCTTTTATTTCTTATTACCTATATAGATGTTGTGTTGAAAAACTTGGTCTAACATCAGTGAAGTCTGTGAGCTTACTTTGATTTTCACCAGCAAAATACAAGGCTAGGTGTACTCAACTATTCTTGAGAGAATGAGACAATAAAGAAAATCCTTAGAACCTTCTTGTTCTCAAGTAATTTCAGAAAGTATGTGAAGCCTGTAAACAGACCACCAAACATTGATCTGAGATCTGGGCAATCTTCCAGCAGATTAAGTTAGTCTTGCTATTGGCATTGTTTAGTGTTACATGGAGCACCTAGTGTTAAAATGCAGGGCCATACCTAGAAAGTCTTCCCTAATTCTAAATTTCCCTGGTTTTATTGACTTGATAAAAGCCACATCACTGTCTAGTCCGCTAATAGTCTCAATTAAAGTATCGCTAGGCAGGGCCTCTTGATCTCATGCAGTACAGCATGAACATTTTTTAAAAAATGTTCTCATGTTACCTCCAATCACCCACAAAGCACCCTCTGCTAGGTATTCAGCTGCTGTACCCTGAATAAAGAGGACAATTGCATATCTTTTCCATGGTGTTGGTCCCATCACATTTATCTGATTACAAACCATAAGACAGAGCAATCATTGAAATGAGTTATCAGTGTAATTTCCTTTTTCTGTTCTTCATTACTGCATGAGAACATGCGGACTCAACCTTCAGTCCCCTGCTGGTATAAATAAGTACAGCTCCTCTGAAAGCAAAGGCACTACAGTGACACAATTTGGCTCAAAATCTGGTCCTATTTAGGTACTAAACATTAAGGATGGGGGACTAACTGCTTCTGTATTCAAAGTATAAGACAGAGTGTAATGAACAACTTGGACTACACTCTTTGGCCTTACAATGACATTTTTTACACATCTGCATCATTTTAGTCTTACTGATAAAGTAGCATAAATATCCTATTTTAAATTTAAATTCTATTGTTCTTCCAGTTTCAAATTACATTTGTAATGCTAAATTTCATTATTGATATCATAGGCTGACAGTCCTTTTAAATAGTACACAATGTTTAACTCCCCTGCAGAACCCTTGAAGTAATTGTAAAAGTTAGATAGCAAGTGGTCTGTATTATTTTATCAAAAATATTTTTAAATGTAGGTGACAATTCTGTAGTGCAAAGGCATATGAGCATGTGCGTGACAAAATAGCACAGTAAAGTACATATGTAGAGTAGTTAACTTGTTTTATTAATGGATTTCTCATTCATGTATCTAAATGTTTCTCTGTCAGCAGTGTAAAGGGTAAATAGATCATGCACACATGCTTGATTGTTGCACTGAATTGTATGAATCCAAAAGATAAAATTAGAAAACATTCTTAGACATTTATGTTATAACATAAGCGTGCTTAACTAATTGCCTGTGTTTGTTCTAACCAGTTATGTTGTAAAATACCTGTGAAAATATTTGTGAAGTTGCTCAGGCAACTTGCCAAAACACACTAAATGGCAAATCCATGATTTTGGAAAAATGCTTACTACTGCAGAATAAATTTTATTCAAACTCTTCAACTATTCTGGAGCTAGTCTATATTACCTTAATTCTAAAGTTGTTGTGAAACAAAACAAATAGAAGTTTATCATTCAGTCAGCCTTAAACTAAATATACCTTAATTCTGCAGCCTAGTATCTTAGACAGTTTGCAAAAGATTTTATTTCAAGAAGTTTCATTAGTGTATTTAAAATGTGCTTTAAAATTAACTAAAAATTTCAAAATACCTATAATTTTCCTCTCATTGTTCACTAGATTAATTATTTAAATATCAGGATGCCTTATCTTTTTGTAAAATGAAGAAAAATGATTTCACAAATGGAGTCTGTGAAGCTCTTACTAATAGATTATGAATGAATAAGCAGTGAGAAGTCTTACAATTTTCTTTGTACTGTACATCAAATCTTCTTTTGAAGTAGAACAAAACAGACTGTAAAAAAGTGCAGTACTGACCCACAAAATATGTGAGGTTGTTTTAAGGAAACTGAGAAAGGCAATCCACTAAGCAACTGTTGATTTGTGTTCAATTTACAAATTGGCAAACTTATCCTGACATGTTTTCACGTTCCCATTACAGCTACGTTTAAATAGCTGAACATTACGGTTAAAACATGCAGCAGCACTTACCTTACTGCCTTGAAGCTGCTTTCCTTAATTCCCAGAGCAGATGCAATAAGGGACTGTATCGACCAATATATGCTGTAAACAGTGTCAGGAGGTAAAAGCCTGCCAGATCCGCTGTGTTACAAGAGAGAAAAAAAAAAAAAAAAAAAGCCCTAGTCACGCTGTTCTCTGAAGCTGCTATGTCATCATGGTGATCTTGTGGTGTGGCATGTACAAAAATGCAGCTCTCTAATGAAGTGCAGGTGGATACCATATTTTGTACAAGGACAACCCATCTGTTATTCCTGGGGGATGAGAGAACGATCAGTGTTTCACAAACCTGAGAAAGTTTAGACCACTAGCCATAGCCTTATACAAGGAATTTTTGTATTTTACAGGGAAAACATTTTAGATTGTAAAACAAATTACAAACAGACTTTTGTTTTCCAACTTATTTTATACTGCTAGACATGAGCTAACAAATGGTGCTCAGACCTCAAAGCTTCTGTGCTTCTTCAGCCAAGTGACTCATTCATTCTTCTGCCTTTTTCTTTAACTATCTTATGTCCACAGTAAAATATGCTTAATAAAATTTTAGCTTGAGGATCAGAACTGAAGATGCAAGATTATCTTCAAATTATAACCTTTTCCACAACATTAAATACAGATTTCAACGTTTCTTCTGCAAAGCATTGGAATTTACTTAGTCTGGAGATTTACTTTGGTGACTGAATGTGTGTTTGTTTAATAAAAATACATCCCAGGAATGGTTTTTCAGCAGTTACTGTAAACTCACTTCATACATTTGTTCATTTTTGCACTTACAGTTTTCTCCTGCTTTTCAGAATCTGGAACTACTCAGCTTTACATTGTCTGTTTCTTATTCCATGGATGTAGTTCAAGAATGCATCTTAAGGCTTAGATGAGATGTTATTTTCACCAGGCAATGCCAAAAAATAATGCACTAAGACAGTAACTGTTTAAAGTGGGTCTTAATATTTCCATAAAACCCATTCCTTATCTCTAAATGGTGGATGTCTTCCCTTTTTATGGGGCACAAGCTCTTTCTTATAAAGTTGGATGGGGACAAATGTGAAATGTGCATATAGAAAGCATGCACAAGCTATTTTAAAGTGTCTTGTGTGTTTAATTGTATTTAACTCTAATTGTTGTGGGTAGGGATCAACTTTCTTGTCTGTTATCGACTGATATTTATGAAAAGTAATGGTACAGGATGTGGCTGGGCTGGCGAACCCACAGCTTCCTGAAGAAGAGGAGCTTGGGTGTGGGCTTCCCCCAGAATCTACTGCTGATGCATCTGGGCCTCCATGCCAGTGCAGGTTACTGGGAGCAGGGAAAGGCCTGGCATAATTCAGTGCCCTTCACCAAGAACATAAAAGATGCCAAATGATTAGACACCTCTGCTTCTGCAATAATGCAAAAAAATTTGCCCAAGGCAGAGTGCCAAGTGCCAGTGCAGCCCACAGGGAGTGAATGTTACTCTTTTGATGTTCTCGCATCACGTCTGTCCCCCTGGCACGGGAGAACCATATACGCATTAGGAAACAGATGCTGATGACAGACTATAACTACATTACTATTTGAATGATGCAAAAAAGTGAATATGAAGCAGTGGGGTTATGATAGTGAATTAAGCTACATAGGTGAGGAAGTGTGCGTAGTATCAGAATTAGAAATGTAGAAGTAGACAAGTCTGCTGTTGTTCTGCATGTAGACAAAGACCAGATGGAGTTTCTCATGCACAGTATGATACTTATCTGAATATTACTTCACTAGTTTCAGTTTACCAAGAAAAACCTTAACTGCAGCCTTGATTGTAAATGGGGCAACAAACAGGAACATTCA